AGATAAAGTGAAATAATTTCTCAAATCATTCGTGAAATTGCTTGTATGAAGTGTGGTCTAGTTTCTTCACCACTTGTGGCAATGATCGCACAGACACAACTTGATCTCCTCTCAAAGTCATAGGATCCCCCACTTGTACCCCCCTCCACCTACAAACACTACAAAAGCTTATTTGTACTGATGCACTTTTCCTTCAATGGTCCCCACTGTGCAAAACATTCCCAAATTCCGGCAGCGTTGAGCTTGCTCTTCACCGAGAGAAACATCACCGCCTACAACCACAGACAGCCTTCCAATCTCACATTCCAGATTTAGTGTATCACATACCGAAAATTCTGATCATTTTACCTCTCATGTTTAGCGTGAGTAGCCAGGGTGGTTTGATGGGGCCTAATCTGCCCAGCATGCCCGACTTGCTGATACAAGTGGAAGACGATGCGGATTATTCGAGCGCCATATCTCGCAACCGGGGTAATTTTTCACCCGCCTCTGGTGTGCCGTTTCGCGTGGTCTGTGCTTTTCCTCTGCAAAGTCAGTAACACTACACATCTCGCAGAAACACAAGAAAGACAGCGAAACACCATCCGATGCCACTGCAGTCTGATCTTCTAACATTCCCACCAATCTAAACTGTACCTACTTCTTCTTTCAACAAGACAGGAGTTAGAACGTCTTGACAGTGTGCTGTGCCATAGGTCTGTTTTTGTTTGGGGAGCTAAGACTCGAGTCGAGGAAAGACATCAGGCATTTCAGACTGGGGGTCAAGTCTTTTCCTAAGACAACACAGCTGCCGACAGTAAACCATCCTGCAGGATTTAAACTGACAGTTCAGCGAAACAGGTGGAACATTCACTACTGAAGGCCAGGGGCTACTAACAGCATAGTGCAAATGGCAAAAAAGGACAACTTTCAAACATCTATTATAGATCCAATGACTTCATACTTGGAAATATTTACCATAGAAGTGTCATATAAAACCTAACAAGAATGCCAAGAATGAGCTAACTGATTTACACTGTTTTGTTGTAGATTTGTGAATATAATTGTTGACAGAACTAAAAAAATGTGTGACATTGCCACAAATGTTCAGCTTTTCTTATTCAAATTTTTCTTCTTGATGAAACTATTAACATCATTGATAATTCAATTGATAAGCAGCTACAATATTTCTACCTCTGCAATCTCAGCAACTAAGTTGCGCGATATCAGTTATGGTATGTTTCATGATCTCTAAAAGATCTTTGTAAATTACGTCAAGTTTTATACAAATAAACAGTTTTATGTCTACCAGCATCAGATTTAAATGACTTGTCAGTTCCTTTTGTATAATCTAGGCCATCAGGATATTATAGGACCCCTGCAGTGGGAGGAAAGCCCATTCATCATCATGAAAAGAAAAAACCCTGACAGTTTATATCCTGTTGATAAGGATGGCTGCCTTTCGGTATTTATATGTAAACTTTCCTCCTAGTAATTCCTGTGGGCAGGATGAGTATGCAGGATTTAGCTCTCGAAAATACCAGTATCAACACATGGAAGGACAGATAAAGAATTGAACACGACCACTTGGCCTGTTGCCTGCAACCGCTTTATGATCCTTAGTCAAAAATACATAGGGGAGGCAGCAGAAGCAATAAAACATGTGCATGACCCTACAGATAGCCATTGACACATAAATAACTGTACCTTTCATGACAAATTGCTTTTCAGCCAGGCAGAAAGAGGGAAAATTAGTTTTCCCAGACATAATCTGTAGATAAAGACCCATACAGCAAATTTGGTCGGCTTGATAGAGTGAAGTACACTGCAAAATTAAGTCAACCCATGGGGGGAAAATCGATACTTCGTAATTGAATTAGACTGCAGCAAAAGCTGTATCTCACATCAGACCAATATCAAGTGTGCGATGATGTCTATATATCAAAGAGCTACGTGACTACAAGATGTTGAGAATAAAGTAGCCAAACCTAATTGAAAACCTGTTTGTTTTATGATTTCAATTTTGACCGTGACACTTTTTTTAAATCATGAAATTATGAAGAGCTTCACGAGTCACTCATGTATATAATAATATCAAAATTACCTAAGAAATGTGTTATTGGTTCTAACATTGAATCTGTATACTCAGATGAATCACATTTTCTTGGCACATTTTCTTATCTTCCTCCCCCATAATTTTGACTAGAAATACCAGAAAAACAAAATATTTTGTTGATGCCGCCTTCGATTAAACATATACACTAAGATGCCACCTGTCCACTTTGAGTAACAAGGCTAGGATAAGTACATTAGCAAGGATGTTTTGGTGCCTGGGGACCTGATAATTACGTAGGCGTTGTACAAAGTTACTGAGAATAATACAACCTAAACAAGCAACAATTCAGACTTGTAAGGCCTAGGAAGGTCTATGCTTCGGGTGAAAGTCTTTTGGAAACAACCAGTACAACCACACGGTAATGGTACTAAACTAGTCAGTTGGAAGTTTTAAGATTTTGAAGGACATTTCAATAGATGTATGAACTTATTCAAAGAAAGGGGCAGGAAATGGTAAGAGACTATTTTACTGTGATACTGTTATATTCCATAACACTGTAGCACACCTATGAACCCTGTATGTAAGAGGGCACAGGGGCAGGGAAGCAGAAAGCCCGACCAGGTGTTGGTTGATGTCCGGGTGACAATGCTTAGTGTCCACAAACAAAGGTGCATTGTGCAGCGTGTACTGGAATTCCCAAGGACGGCGATACGTTACATGCAACATTCTGTCCTGGCTTTCGCTGGACAAGCTTGGAACCTGTGCCTTTGGCAAGGTTGTGACACAGACAGTTGAAGAAGCAAATTTGTACAATACCACCAAATTGAAAAGGAGTGCAGACAATGTGGATTGCAACGTGTACTGACTGTATAGCAGTAGGATGGAAGTATTCAAGGATTGTTGCTTTTGGACGAGTAAGACACGGGAAAAATGCATGGCTGAGTTAAAAAAGAGACAAGCGAAAACCGTTGCACACGCTTTGTATGCCGCCGCAGACAGGAGCCCCTCCCACCCGTACTGCACTGGTCTTCGCCCGACCTCCAACGAGCCACTTGTTTGAACAAACTCGTGGACGGACTCGAGACGAGAAAGGCAAACATGATTGGATGATTTACAGTGGGGCCCCGCGCGACACAACAAGCCCGTGACGTGTGCGCAGAGGCACGTCGCCAACCGTTATACGTCAAACCTCCCTCTCAGAAATCCAATTATAGGCAAAACACTGTTTGCTGCTTTAGACGAAGGTATATAAACTACAATCCACGTTACTGGTACAAAATCCACTATTGTTCTTTGGGTACTCCCTTTACCATTCTAAACAGTGGTAGGTCCCAGAACTTGATAATTACACAGACAGAATGTCTACTTTTATCGTGCAATACCTTATATTAACTCTAATTCTAAACCTGTGCTACTGGCCATTGAACGTTACATAGTACCTGCCTAACATAACTACACAGCCTCAGGGCAAATGGTTAGCTACAACAAGCCCTTTTACAAGTGTACACAAATTGTTACCAAATCCACTTTTAAAGTAGCCCAATTTTCCTGTTTGAATTTTCTTTCCAATCAAACAGTTGGGCTGTGACACAATTACCATGTCCGTCTCTTTGTCCCAGGCATAAACGAATGACCCAGTGCAAACAAACTGGGCCAGCGTCCAAAGGGCCCAAAATCCACCACAGGTCACCCAAAAAGCAGGTGTTAAAACGGGGGTCAACCTAGATCATGGACAACAGCTACCTGCTTCCTGCAACGGCTTTTGTTTAAACCGACCCCATTTGCAGTTGAAACAAAATATTTGTATGTCTCCGGCCAGTAGAAACAATTGTGTAATCAGCCATCAATCTGATTAGTTCACAAATTTAAACACGGTGTTTGCTCATTGCCCAACGGTCTGGTTGCCAACGTGTTCGGCGTAGATAAAACTCACTTGCACTTTGTGTCTATCGTGCGTGCTAATAGCTTGTTTGAAATTACAAAAGGCTGCAGACAAGAGGGCCCTAGAAGTTCAGCCTTCAACAAGAAAAATCATTATTAGTATAGAAAACTAGAGCATCCACTGAAGAAGAACTACAAACATGTTTCAAATTTATAAAACAAGAGATTAAAAAAAAACACAACAGAAGTACAGTATCATATTCTAAATTCAGAAATTGTCTGAATACAAAACGGAAGACAACTTCTTTATTCAAGTTTCAGTGAGCCCAACTTGGCAAGTAATCGAGTCCAAGGACAATGCATTTCAAAGTTGTCTACTAAAAGGGGTGTGAAAAGAATTGCGTAAATCGTCCTTTTCAACTGGGACTTAATCTCCGGGCCCCGAGAAATAAATCTAAGGCCTCTGCTTGACAAAGAAAGATGGCAAGACGTCCCCAGATTATGTATGGAAGTCGCACCTGAGATGCATATGTAATACAAGTCCTGCCTATACACAAAGCCAGCATTGTCACAAGTAACCGTTACAACTGCCCTAAAATGGAAGAAAATCTTGGGGCACGGGCCCGAGGTTACTGCACTTTAAACACCGTTACGTGACATTTCGACGATTTATGGCCGAACTGGGGTCTGAACATCGCCCGACGCCGGGAAATTATGAATAATTGATCAATGCTGTGCATTTTTGGCGGGTCCGACGCGCGTGGCTTATTGTTATTGTAATGTATGGCGCCGTCTTCGTGGCGTGGGGAGCTGAAACCTGAGCGTGGCGTGGGGGAAAGAACAAGAACAAAGCACTGGCAAAGTAAGACATTTCGGACGATTCTGGCGGCAAAATCCGATGATTTAGCGGGTTCTGAAATACGTGGTGACATCGGGCGGAAGCCCTGGCCGTAGGGACCGGGTGGCAGCTGACAGCCAGCGGAGGGGTGATGGATTGAAGCGGGGCCGTGGGTCGGGGTGGGGCCGCGGCGCTTGGGACAGGCTCCCCGGCCCGCGGGGCGACGGGCACCGCACACGAACCTACCTCAAAATCGCTGACGTCCTCGCCCAGCTCCTCGATGACTCCTGCGGCCTCCATGCCCAGGACGACGGGCGGCTTGGTCATGCGGTCGTGCAGACCCTGCCTGACCATCAGCTCGGAGAAGTTGAGCCCGGCCGCCTTGACTCGGACCAGCACTTCGCCTTTCCCCGCCTTGGGCTGCGGCTTCTGCTGCACGGACAGCTTGTCGTAACCGCCATGGCCCGTCAACACGATGGTCCGCACCGTGGGCTCTGGAGGCTCTGCCGGAGCGGCTGGCTCTGCGGCGGCCGCCGCCTTCTCAGGCTCGGCCTTCGGGGTCTCCTGTACGGCGTTGCCCGCCTCGTGTGCGACCGTTGCTGCATCTCCGCCTTCCGCCATCTTGTCAGGACTCACTCTCACTACTACAGCCAAGTACAGCCAACAAGCTAACCTATGACCTATCACCCGTGGTGACCCTAAAAAACTGCCAAAATTAGGGGAGCGATCATTGTTGATTGGTCGAAGGGTTTGGTGGCTGCAGTCACGTGGGTTAGAAAAGAAGTAGTCGGCACGCTCCTTGATACAAACGGAGTCTTTTAGTGCCTTTCAAAAGCCAAAGAAAATCGCAATTCGCAATTGATCCTGAAATTTCCGGAATACTAACGTTAGTAACAACAACTTACATGGAGTAACGTTACATGCAGTTGCAATTATATATGTAACGTTACTCTCAATGGAGCAGATTCTTTTTTTAGGGGGGTTTATGTCCAGTCATTGTTGGTTGGATGTTTAGGCAGTCTACAATGTACAGTAGTTGGGACAATATAACGTTATACCATTATATATGCAAAAATGCTGTTGGCGTTAACAATTGCAAGTACAAAAAGTATAAAAGCCCCCAGTTCAAAACAGGTGCAATGTAAAGGGTGTAACGTTACATGTAAGACTGTAAGTTAATAAAATTAAATTAGATATGGCAATGCCGCATGATGAGTTGGACGTTTGCAGCATCAAAATCCATTCAAATAGGTAAACGTTATATTTCAAAATGCAATGTGTTGGAGATGGCAAGAGATACAAGACCCCAGGACTCCAAAGCTCTCGCTCTGTCCCCAGCATGGACAAAAATAGCCTGGGTTCTCTCAGTTCATTGACGGCCAGCTTGAATGGACAGACACAAATAGTTTTACTCCAGCCAAATATGACATTAAAATCGAAAAACACAAAAGATCCACGTCCAACCCCTCCAACTAACAGCAAATACCAAGACTTAGCGAACGGCTCAAATTCTTATAACCTAGGTGATGTGTGCAGGCGATCGCAAGCTTTGCCAAACGTTCCCTGTGACATGTAACACGATGTCTTGGCAAGTCGTAACCCTATCTAGTACTGTCTGTGTTATTTATAACGCACGAGCTCAGTCTGTGAGCTGCTATATTTGTAATCTCGGTTCATTCACACTTTTTTAGTGTAAAGATTTACTGCGTGCTGGAACTCCATACCGCGTCCCGCTGATCAGTTTACGGCCATTTTCAACAGGCCGGAAAATTAGGAGGATCATAATATCCCGTTTTTCATTAGCCAGGCCGTATCGTAGCCGTGAACTGATTGGCCGCGGAAATTAGCGACAGAACCTATCGACAGACAGGTCCATAGGAAGGGAAACCCTCCCCTGTTTGTTTTGATACAGATCTGTAGTGTGAAGTGGTTTGGGTTGATAGAACGTCCTTGGGTTGATCGCCAGCCATTGCAAATAAATTGGATACAGGTTTTCATGTGTGTGTAAATTTCCTAGCTGTGTAACGGCTAATCGTTGACGTTGTGGAAAACAGTTTAGTATACAGTCTCCAAGCAGATGTTGAGGTAGAAAATCGTGATGTATTTGTGTCCGGCAACAAGGATGTTTAAGCCATTTCAGATAAATTGTATACGCGTTTTCCTAAATGTGTAAATTTCCTAGCTGTGTTAGTCTCCACACCAGACTCCTTTGCAGGCTAAATAAATAGTAGAAATCGGCCTAAAAGGGGATTTATAAATTGTCCAGAGGAGTTGGCCGGCCAGAGAGGATCCTTTGCCAATGAATCCCCTTTTTAATTTTAGGCCGATTTCTACTATCTATTCAGCCTGCAAAGGAGTCTGGTGGAGACTAGTGGAAAACACTAGTCACGATAAACATACATACTCTCCAAGCATGTAGATGTTGGGGTAAAAAAATCGCGATGTGGTTGAATAAGTTTTGGATGTCGTGTAGTGTTCTTTCAAAAACAAGTGTCCAGTGAAGGAGACCGTTAACTTGCGTATGGCCGAAACAAGGACGAGCAAACGATTTTAAACTTTATCTAGGGACAGTGGACATAGCATGGCCTTGCGCATCTAAGCACCTTGCCAGTCTATTTACCTTGGCTCAGCGTTATCTGACACCAAATCTAATCTTTCAGCAGATATATAGCCTTGAATTGTTTAATACGTCTATCACCTTGGGTTGCTATGCCTTCTTGCACCGATCAAAACAACCGAAGAGGCACGGACAATGAATTGAAAATAGCGCGAAACGCCATGTATCTGCTTGGAGATTAAAGTCTGTAGCCCACCTAGTTCCATGACCACCTGCCAGTGATAACAAGACAAGCGCGGTACCGGTGTAGGTTGACGATATCTTTACTCCAAATCGGATGGTCAATGGGGCTTCTAGGGCCTTCTAGGAGTTCTGCCTTCCTTCTTATTTCGACTAAGAGGGAGTAGTGTTCAAAAGTCGTCCTTTGGGTTTATTGTGTTTCTTTGACCCAGAGAGAAAGTGGCATTGCCTTGGTCACCATTTTTCAAGCGCCCACACTACTAGTATCATGGATGAAAAAATAACTGAAGAATTTGCTACATTTTCTGACCCCGTACCCCTTCTGCATCATCTTTGAACTTGCCCGATCATGACGGCCATGTTTCATCACTGCTGCCATGGTAACGGAAATTAGGCCACTCCTTATAAGGACAGACAGTGTCCTGAGACAGATGTTCAGACAGGTTGATTTTGGGCACCTGTAACTAATTATTGAATCATTGATTGGTTGTTAATACATTTATGGCAATCTTCACTTTACTGATTATTAGAATGAAATACATAGTTCATCCCATGTTTCAATGATGAACTTCTATGGATTTCATGCATTTGTATGTATTTTTCATTCTAATTTCGATTTATAGTTTAGTTCGAATTCATACTCACAGTTGGCTGATGTAGTCTCGTGTAGGGATTTGAAACTATCAGTTTTTAAGACGGAATATTTGTCTTGGTCTTTTTAACGGCGTGTAGAAGTGTTTATCAAGTCTTCCTCGGACAGCGACCGAAAGAAACGGTCGGTCCCGGAAGCGGAGATGCGCGGAAGAATTCCCGCTTTCTGCCCGGGTTCGCCCGAGTCCCACAGAACAAAGCTGTCACAACACAGACATGGGAGACTTACCCGGCCATTACGTGGTCACAGCGCACCATTTTACCGTGTGATATGCCGTCAGTTATGATTTCCAAGCAGATGCAGGGTGTAGGTCAGCGTTTTACGCGTGCTTTGAGGCTTTTAAAACTTATTTCTGATGGTTAACGTTTTGTCGAGAAGAGAGGAAATGGCGGATTACTAGAAATAAGTATTACTGCAGCCATAACTTAGTTATTACTTTTATTACTGCCTCAGGCCCTAAGCTGAAGCACACGTAAAACACTGAACCACACCCTACATCTGCTTGGAGATTTCTTCCCACGGTGAAACGCGCCTGGACGTCTGAAGTACAAGTTAAGCCTTAGCAGATTACCGTTATACTCAATGGCTCTAGACTCGCATTTCTAGTTGAGGGATTTTCATGCATTTTGTTTGTCTGAACGGTTCATGCATGGGATCATGTTTTCAATCTTCCTCGTGATTTAAATACAAAACAACTCTCTCTCTCCCCCCTCTCTCCCTCTCTCTCTCTCTCTCTGTCTCTCTCTCTAAATACACGTACTTACATCAAAATATAGATATGAATCGTGATTATTATCCTGCAAACGAAGACGAAATTCCACGCGGAATTTACATGTTGTTGGAGAGATCCCGAAAGAGTATACCTCGAGGCTTGTGCAAAAGCCATGGATAAATGCCCACACAGACCGACCATGCTGGCTACACGTGTTCTCTGTGTTTGCCCAACACTTGGCGTGACATAACATTACTTGGATAGACACAGGAAAGCGCAACTAAAACATCTTCTCATCTTTTGATTACAAATTATCACAAATGCTATTTTCCACCTTTTACTTGAGGCGCGAATTCTGTTCAGGCCTTCGGACGGGTGGGAGTTTTGTGCGGGTACAAACCTTCTCCGGGTGGCTGGTTGTGGGATGGCCAGCAAAAGAACGCGTTAAAATTCTACAAAATGTAGTATCAAAACTCCCACCCGCCCGGAGGCCTGTACATGAGGCTACGAATTCTTCTCTACGAGTATGAGTGAAACAGAGTCGGTCTTTTCGTCGAATTCTGTTGTCCAAATGAGTGAAAAGAGCATGTCCGACGGTTTACACAGTTGCATCTCACTCCCCAGTTGCCGCCTGGTGTTTTGAATCCCTCCCTGCGACAGCTGTGTGGGAACAAGTGTTACAGACGGTTGGAAGTCTACTTGGCAGCAGAAACAACACAGTTGCAGGCGTGACAATCAGCGAGAGTGAACAAACACAGCGGCGTGTGGTCATGCCAGACAGGTCCCGCTAGGGTCGCCCCTGAACAGGTGCACGTTTGTGCTCCATGTGGGGAATATCGCCTGGACTTGCCAAAAGAAGCACTTCCCAAAAGCAGGTGAACTTGAAATCAGTCATGTTGTTTGATTTTTCCATCTGTTCAAAAATGTCAGCCAACAACGCGGTTCCGAAGAAAGCTGAGAAATTTGAATTCCTGTAGACAGCTGACTTTTCATGCCATGTTTCACTGTCGTTGACCTGACACGATTTTCAACGACATATGATTTATTGTGTTAGCCTGAAGTCCAGCCTTGTTGGTTCGCTCCAAAAATCCGCTACGCGTTTGCGGGGTAGCGGATCTAGGGAGCGGACTAAGCTAACAAGGCTGGACTCCAGGCTATTACTGTGTGCATGCTACTGTTACCATACCCAAGCACATAAAGCAAGCCGTGGATAGATCCTGTATATTCTACATTTGTGAAGGAATTGCTGTGTGGTCCTTTACTAGACAGAAGGCCTTTTTGATAAAAGAATGGGTGCCCCTTGAGTTGAATTGATTTGTGGCAAATCGAAGTGGAAAATCTTGGCAAGTGTTGGTCATATACCCAGAGACAGCAAGGAAAAAAGAAACGCTTTCTTATATATACATATAAGAATACAGTCTAGCCTCCACTAGGTCTTTCTACGGGAATACGGATCGTAGAATTAGGTAAAAAGAAGAGTAAAATTGGCCAGGGGAGTCCGGCCGCGGGAGATTGTTTCCCTGCGCGGCCAGTCAAACCTACAAGGCGGCC